ATCGCAAGCAGGTATACCGAATACTTTTCTCGGGCACCGACGACTTCTTGTCAATGCTCTTGGGCTTGTCTCTGTTCGAAACTTTGCACGACCATCCTGGAATCATGACATTCCCGCATGCGCCGCAAATGCTTCGTCGGAGGGCATCCGTCTCCTTGCTTGAAATACCGACTTCAGCATCTTCGATTAGCTTGTTGCATGCATTACCTAGAAACGCTGCTGTTGTTGGCGAGGGAATTGCGAGGAGATGAGCCGCCTCTTGAAGGAACTTCGCCCTCAGCTCTGTTTGAGTTGCTGAAGCCATGTGTTTAGAGGACCTGAATGATCTCTGCGCAGATCTTGAGAAGCTTCCTGCAGGTCCAGTATCTACACGTGCTCGCTAGCTTATCATAACTCCGACTCCCGACGCTAGTGCTGCAGGGCCGTGCTCTTACTTTCTTCGACAGCAGCATTCATTGCAATGTTTACATTGCGCGTATTGCGATTTCTGCGCCAGTGTACTGCGCAACAAAGCTTTAGCAGCAGTTCTGTGGTCGCGCTACTAACGAGTCTTCCTCTCACTAACTACCGGTTCACAATTGTCGAAGTATGGCCGCCCCAGAACTGGTAGAACAGCAAGGCGTGCGCATAGCAGTCGAAGGTTGCGGCCATGGAGTGCTACACGAGATCTATGCGTCTGTCGCAAAAGCTTGCGAGCTGAAAGGCTGGCCAGATGTGGATCTCTTAATTATTGGCGGTGACTTCCAGGTACGTCAAACAATTCATAGTGCTTAACCATTGACTGACTTTGTAGGCTGTTCGAAACGCGTCTGATCTCAAGGCGGTATCGATGCCCTCCAAGTACTACGCCATGCACGACTTTCACGAATACTATTCAGGCTTGCGCACAGCCCCGTATCTCACCATATTCATCGGCGGCAACCACGAAGCGAGCAACTACATGTGGGAGCTTTACTACGGTGGGTGGGCCGCACCAAAGATATACTACATGGGCGCAGCCAATGTGATACGGCTGGGACCACTGCGCATTGCTGGTCTGTCCGGTATCTGGAAAGGCTACAACTACAAGAAGCCACACTATGAGCGCTTGCCCTACAACAGTGACGATGTTCGGAGCATCTATCATGTTCGCGAACTCGACGTGCGGAAACTGCTTCAAATACGGACGCAGGTTGACATTGGGCTGAGCCATGACTGGCCGCGCGGTATGGAGTGGAAAGGCAATTACCGGCAGCTCTTTAGCTGGAAGCCAGACTTTGAGCAAGAGGCCAAGGACGGTACTCTTGGTAGTGTTGCTGCAAAGGTAGTCCTTGAGCGCCTGCGACCACCTCATTGGTTCAGCGCCCATATGCATGCTAAATTCCCCGCTGTCTGGGACCATGCAGAAGTTCCGAATGCTTCGCCACCGCAAACAGATGCTGATAGTGCTATCCCGCGAGTCGTAAACGATGGCGAGATTGATCTGGATGTATCAAACGAGGAGCCGATACCAGCACCTAAGAATGATGCCGAAATTGATCTTGACATGGACTTGGACGACGACGAGGTGGTCCCTGTACCAGTCGCAGAGCCCAAGAAGCCTATACAAGCTGCTGATACGGAGAGCGAAACTCAAGTTCCAGAAGACATTCGCAGCCTCTTACCGGAATCATTCTCACGCCCGAAGGCTGAGATAGTACAGACCCTCCCCTTTCCTGAAGACATAACGAACAAGACGACCAACTTCCTCGCACTTGACAAGTGTTTGCCCAAACGAAGCTTTCTGCAATTGCTAGAGATACAACCACATACACCTGCAGAATTGCAACGGCCTCTACGATTGCAGTATGACACGGAGTGGCTTGCCATTACTCGTGTCTTCGCCGATCACCTTACTGTAGGGGACCCCTATGCGCAAGTCCCTGCAGACAAAGGCGATGCGGTCTACCGACCTCTTGTGGAGAAAGAGATAGCTTGGATCGAAGAGAACCTTGTCAGAGCTGACAAGATGATGATACCTGAGGATTTTACAGCAACTGCGCCGACATACGACCCCGCACTAGGCATTCACGTCCAGGCTACCCCGCAAGAGTACAGTAACCCACACACTCGGTCATTTTGCAACTTACTGCAGATCCCGAATGTGTTTCATGCGTCAGATGAAGAGCGGGCACAACTAGCGCAAAGTGGTCCGAGACCGGAGCAACAGCGGTCCAATCGAGGCGGGGGAAGAGGCGGAGGTGGACATCGAGGGGGTGGGCGTGGCCAAGGGCATAGGGGACGTGGGAGGGGCGGAAGGGGTGGTCGTGGTCGGGGAAGATGGTGATGACTTAACCGCATGCCTGAGCCGATACGAAAGTTTGGATGATGCAAAGGAAGTCGTCATCTGTCCAGCTTGTCCAGAGCCGCACTACTCAAACTTCAAAACAGTCTAGCAGAGTGCGCAATTGCCGTGGACTGCGATATGCTCCACGACACCAGTGTAGCCTCACGATGGCTCGATGGCCACGACATTGTATACATGACAAGTGCAATTGGTGCCCAAGACTAGCAAATTGCACACGCGGCTAGCGTCGTGTGTCCGCTTATATCTGCAACTTAACCTCGAAAAGTCGGCTCCGCTGCCCACTTGACATGACGGATGGCGCAGAAGTTTGGGGTCTACCGTTGTCACAGACCCACAAGGGTCCGGGCGCCGGACAGTTTGAATGAGGACCCTGCACGATGATGTCGACTAGCTGCCGAGTATGGCATTTCGCATACACCGCAAACCTAGGCGAGGCCCTCTCGTTTGAAGCTTGTACTGTTGTCGCAATCGTTCGCTGGCAAGCGGAGCCGGGCGGCGCTTTAGACAAGGCCGTGGTTTGGAAACTATAGCCAAAGTGGTGGCTGTAATATTGGATGGCTCTCGTCCTACGTCAGTGGCCCGGCCATACTCGCGATGGACGCAGCGGACCCGACGAGAACACCGCATGCGAGCTGCCGTCGTGCGGACACAGTTTCAATATAACTGCTGCGGATAAAGTGCTCAGGCTCGGTCTTGCCTCGCGATGCCTGGTGATCGTGCTGATCTCAGGCATGTTAGGCGCAAGTTTATTTGACACGGCGAGCCGATATTCGCAAGCTGTGGCGAAAGGGTTGCGCGTGCTGAGCAAGAATACCCAAGACTCACAAGGTCGCCGCTGTCGCGCTGCGCATGACTGGGCAGAGGCTGGAGGCGGCGGGTCGGATGCGCAATCCTGCCAGCAGTCGTGCGAAGACGTCCGTAATCTGGTTGACACTTTCAAGCGGCTTGGGAGAGCCCTTGCGGATATGTCAATCCTGCGAGCGCTGCTATTTCCAGTGCGCTCACCCATGGGACTGTGCGACTGGAGACTTGTCGCACGCGGTTACGCGCCCGTTATGGCCGCACGAAGACCGTGTGGCTGCCAGCGGAACGCTGTCCAGAACGTTTTGGTACGTCATACCCTGCCCTTAGCGCCGCCGTTATATGCATCGAGGCTTCGCGATCGGCGGGACAGACCCTGGATCGTACTGTAGCAAGTCCCTGGCCTCGTGTGCCGTCGACACACGGACCCCGTCCACCTGCTCGTCCACACACGCCCTGAGATATGTTTAAAAACCTTTCGCCGCCCTTGCATGCCTAGGCTTTGTTCATTACTTCGGCATATATCGTCTACCATCGCTTCGAGCTTTCACCCTTTCCACTCTCGCTACTACACTATTTCCGGTATCCGCAACTGCCTGCTCTCTTGGTATACTATATCCGGACATTGCCACATCGAAGTCTGGACCATATACCATAAGCCACGCTCGACACATCACCCGTAGATCATATCAGCCACCCAGCACTATATATCGATACTGGTGCTATAAAGATCTACATCTCCCCACATCCGTTCACACATAACGAACGTTCACCCACTCTATCACTTCACTACTACTATCGACGCAATGGCCTCTCGCTTTGTCGAAAACCTCGAAGAGGTCCCGATCAGTCATCCCCACCTCAACGTTTCACTGGACGACATCCTCGCAGAAGAGAGCCGCAAGAGGTCCTCTTCTCAGTCATCCGCTAGCTCGGATCCTCGTCGATCAGGCAGCAGCTCTACACCAAGTCCTACATCACCCACTGCCACCGAAAGCAAGCTCAAGCGCGCCTTCACTCTGGGCAGCAAGAAGGGTCGCCGAACATCATGATGAATGAAGTTCGACGCGCATCCATTTCTTGCGTCAACACTCCACATGCCCATTACGAATAACTACGAACAACGGTTATCAGACCATAACGACACCACAAAGACTTTCTCGACCAAGCGTTGGAAGAGAATAGTCATCGCCTGACGAGCGCCCAGCCGTCAGTCAGCCTCCGCCTAGCCGACACCCGGATGAATATTGAAACGTCATCACAACAACATCCATAGCGTGGTCGCTAGTGCCACGACAAGCACGCGCCCCATAACACACGCGCCCCATCGTCGTCATCCTTACACCGCCACAATGTGCGCTTTAGTGATGGAAATTTACGATGGAATTAGTGCTTGGAATCTCTGGTAGTGGCAAGGAATTATCATCGACGTTATCTTTACCAGCAGATTCCTGTTTCCATATAAGCCGCGTATCGCAGCACACATGTACCTAATAATCATACACTTCTTTAACAACCATGTGCTTAATGTGATAGTTTGTCAACCTTGAGACACATGATGAATGCAGATAACTTGATCATGCTGGTCAGCCATCCAAAGCAGTCCCACCCCCACCGCTATGATGGCAGTACCGATGCCCACAGTTGTACTTGCACTTACTGGCACGTGTCCTTCTTACCTCGCCAGCTTGGATCGCAACAACCCAGCACTAACTGCGCAGCTCCCTTTCTCAGAAGCCTTGAAGGGAGATGCATCTGATACCTTGGCCAATGCCAACTCTCCAAGCCCCGACGTCCTGTAGCCACCTCAACCACCTATTACTACCCACCACCTCCTCCTGACGACCCATCACCAAGCAGACCTCAAGCCGCCATGACCACAACGACACCCGCCTCCCTAATCGCGTCCCTAGAATCCCACCTCGCACCCACCCTAGTCTTTACATCCCCACCAACATCACCGAGTCAACCGTCACTCCACCTCATTCCCCCAGCTACCCTCACCAAGCTACGCAACATAGGTCCCGGCCGCGTGAAAGACATGCGTACTCTTGGCCACTCGAAACAAATCATCAGCCACATCCCCATTGCCGCCGCACCGCCGATCTGCAGCAAGATCAACGACACGATGCATTCGGCGGTCATCATGAACGGGGAGAAAGTCGCTGCGCTGAGTATGTTGCTTTCAGAAGGCAAGGAGGCGGCTAAAGAGCTGGCAAGGTGTGTGTGGGTAAGATGAAGTTTGTAGGTGGTTGTATTGGAATGAGTCGGAACATCAAGCTGGAAGAGGCAGAGTGGGAGGACCTTTGGGATGTGGCTGAGAGGTATCGAGTGCCGATTCTGTTGCGGGAGATGTGGCCGGTAGGCTCGGAGGTACGCTGCTTTTCTGTCCTCTAGATATCAAGAGGAAGAGAAAGCATGTAGACTGACATGCGCAGATACCGGATTACCAACACAGTTTCCCTTCTTCGGTATACGCGCCTCTGCTGACACATATCCACTCGTCGCAAACTACGTCTCCTCTCCCGCTGTTACACCTCTACCTCAGCTGCGTCTTCGACCGCCACCCTGCTCTCCGTCTCATACTCGCGCATCCGGGCGCGCTACCATCCCTCATTCCACGCATCGAGATGCTCCTCACTACTATCCCCTCGGCGGATAAACCGAAGCGAAGTTTCCTAGATGTCTGGCAACACAACATCTACCTCACAACAGTGGACGCACAAGACATGTCTAGCCTGAGAGCGCTACTGGAGCGGATACCTGTAGATAGGGTGTTGTATGCGAGTAACTACCCGCTTGAAGAAAGAGGGAAAGAGTTGATGGAGGAACTGCGGGAAAGCGGGTTCTTGACACAGGTAGAGTGGGACAGAGTTGCGTGGGGGAACGCGGAAACGGTGTTTAATTTGAAAGGGGCAAACATGAAGGCAGGGAGGAGGTAATCTGCGTCTGCAGTGTGCGACGACCTAAATTGCAAGTAGCGAAAATGTAGAAAGCAGTCACCTGGCATGCGCAAAGGTCATTGATAGCTCATTCCTGTGCATTCATGGTATGTGTATGTGAACGCCCTGCCAAGTCATGACTCTCAGCCTGTGGTATCTTTCATGTCAAATCGTCGTCGTTGCCGCACTGCCGTGTCTCGTCGCTTGCTCGCTTGCTCGTGGGTATGTCGGGCGCTTATTTCTTGCCGGACTTCTTGATGCCCTGGGAGCCGGTGTTGAGCGGTCCCTTGCCCTTGCCGACCGTCTTGGCTAGGTCCTCACGCTGCTTCTTCTCTGTATATTGTCAGCACATCTGTCTTTGTTCTTCGGAGCCTTGTGGTGGCGCTTCGGGGCCGGTCGTGGTATAGGCGTCGGAGAATGGGAAGTAGGGCGTTACGTACCGGCAGCGAGCTTTTGCTTGTAGGCGAGGTCATCCTCATCGAGCTCGACGGCCTTCTTCTTCTTCTGCTTGTTGTGGATGGGGTTTGTACCAGCTGTGGTATTCTGTCAGCCTTGACCCCGCTTCGGTCTGCGCGAAAGTTAGGACGCTCACCTCCTTGTCCTGAAGGCATCTTGAAAACTTCGGTTGGCTTGGTAGTCCGGTCTTCGGTGTGTAGGTGAGAGGGTGGAGAGATTTGGTCGGGCGTCGAAAACGTTAGGCGGTCGCGGGCGGTGGGAAAGGGTCTCGACGCCCGAAAAAGTGGGATGCGCACAGCCACAGAGCTGTGGCGGATGCGCACACGTGATCTATCACGTGCTGGTCTCGGAGCTGGGGAAGCTGGAGCTCATCTCAGCGCTGATGAGGCTCATCTAGCGACCCGGGATACCGTGGCATGTCATATGCACCTCTAACAGTTCATCACCGAAAACACATGCGCGTCGCGTGGTGTTGCCCGAGAACATCTTAGGGGCATATTGGCTTAGGCTCGTTCGATCGTTGGCTCCCCGCGTGCCCATCTCTGGAGGATGCGATATGATGGTCACCGCCCGCAACCAATGTGCCGACCCACCCGAACTCCACATCTGGCTATCAAGCGATGTTCTCTAGCATGATTCATGTGATACCTGCTCTCCGTTTACAACATGGAGTCGTCCACGTTGACCAAAAACTCTCTGCGACTCGACTGTTGCACCGGCTTCACACATGCGCTTCTCAAGAACCACTCTCGCAGTTTTAAGCATCAATTAATCACAAAATAAGAGAGCCCAGGCGGCAGCCAAAAGCTTTGCTTCGCGGCGTCTTCCTTGTCTCTGACTTGGCATGCTTGCGTCCACGAGGAAAATCTACCCATTATCGACATTGTCGCCGGCAAACCTAGCTACTCACGGGCTAGATGGTGCACTAAACACCATCTCGGCATGAGTCGGTCTCGCTTCTCCTCAAAACAACGGCGCCTCAACACTTAGCTCTATTACGCCCATTCGTGGAAAAACTCCACGACGCCTCTCCGTCCATCAGATGGACAAAATCTCTCCATCGACACTCCCGTCCCAAGCCCCAGATTCCCCAGATTCAGGGACTACGGAGAACGAAGTGCTAGGCGTGGATGCATTTGGCACTAGAGCAAGCTTTGGAGGCGGTCTGGGCATGTTGATTCGTGGTGATATTCTGGATAGAGGCGTCTGGTAGCGGCGTAGGCATCGGATCCTGGGTGCTGGAACTGGCGCTTCCCCGAGCTCATGGGGTTGACATGGGGCAAGATAGTAATCCACAGGGTGGCTTCTCATGTGGCATGTATATATGCCCATCGCAGTCTCCGCTGATTGCTCTCCACTCCAGAGCTCTACGAATCTTTCGCTGTATCCGTTGCGGAATTCGAGCTGGACGCCTTTGTCAATCGTTACAGAGCCGATCACTACCGTTACTTTTGTTTGGAAGGAACTCTGAGTGACTACCGTCAAGATGGTCGACAAAACTAGGGTGTACAACTGGTACATCTCGCTCGTTGCAGCATCATGCATGGTGCTCTACGGTTACGATGCGTCCGTCTTCAACGCGTTGCAAAACTCGAAGCATTGGATTGCCTACTATAACAACCCCGGACCTAACATCATCGGCGCCATCAACACATCATACACAGTTGGTGCTGTCGTAGCTGGTTTCTTCATGGTACGTCACGTCTATATATCATTAGTCCGCAACATGTACTAACTTTGCTGTGTGTAGGCTGGACCCCTCGCTGATTTCGCTGGCCGTCGAATTGGTATGGCTGCTGGATCTGTGTGCGTCATCATCGCGACCATCATGCAAACATTCGCCCCTCGCGGACAAATCGGTGTCTTCATCGCTGGCCGTGTTCTCATTGGTATCGGACAAGGTCTCGCCTTGACAGCTGGCTCTATCTACATTGGAGAACTTTCGCCCCCTGAGATCCGTGGAAAGATCATGTCCTTCTGGCAGATGTTCTATTCCGTTGGCTCCTTCATCGCATACTGGATCTCCTTCGGCACGTCCAAGAACCCCCAGAAACTCGGCGAGTGGGACTGGAAGATGGTTGTTATCTTCCAGATGATGGTGCCCATTCTCATCCTCTCCCAAGTCTTCTTTATCCCAGAGTCGCCCCGTTGGTACGTCCAGAAGAACCGCAACTACGAAAAGGCTCGCCGCTCGCTCCGCCGCGTCCGTGCCACTGAGCAAGATGTCGAGGATGAAATCACCACCATCCGCGAGGCCATCGAATTCGAAGCCGAAGCAATCTCCTCCGGCTTCTCTGCTCTGTGGAAGGACAAGTCTGTCAGGAAGCGCATGTACATTGCGATGATTGTCAACGGTGGTCAACAGATCACTGGACAGGGCACACTCAACTCTTACAGCTCCATCATTTACAAGAAGGTCTTCACGAGCGCCGACACCATCTCTCTCATCAATGCTCTGAACGCCACTTTCAGCATCATCTTTACGCTCAACGCTACCTGGACTGTCGACCGCTTTGGACGCAAGTTCCTGTTCATCGTCGGTGGTATCGGTATGGGTATCTGCATGCTTATCGCTGCTACTGTGGAGACACAGACACCTACTCTCCCCAGTGGAGCAAAGTCGGAACCAGTTGGTATCGCGATCGTATTCCTCATGTTCCTCTTCGCTCTCTTCTGTAAGTCACACACTCTCAGTACCATCTCAACACGAACACGCACTAACAACCACCACAGACAAACCCTCCTGGGGCGCAACAGTATGGATCTTCACCGCCGAGATCTTCTCCATGAACATCCGTGCGCAAGCCGTAGGCATGTGCTCGCAAACCCAAAACGTCGTAAACTCCATCGTCCAGCAGTTCTTCCCTGTCTTCCTCAAGAACGAGGGCTTCTACGCTTTCTACATGTTCGCCGCTATCAACATGCTGCTAGCCGCATTTGTCTGGTTCTTTGTTCCCGAGACTAAGAAGGTTAGTCTTGAGGAGATGGACGCCATCTTTGGTGGTCAGAACCATGTTGTTGAAGGCGCGGCCATTGAGGAGAAGGACCCGGCAAGGCACCACAGTGTTGTTGTGGACAATGACGCCAAGGGTGCTACTGAGAGGGTCGAGAGGGCTTGAGTTGACGATTGATGACTATTATTCGTTATGCGGTTGGTCCTCATGCTGGGGGAGTCATATAGTATATGGTACTGCGATAGCGTACCAAGGTTTAATGATAAATCTTTAACCAACCAACACCAGGGCTGCCTATTGCATGCATCGTCAAATGTTTCTCTGGAAGATTTCTCTGCTACCATGGTCCGACTTGACATAACTTTTTGAGCAGTATTCACTATGGCTCCCCAGAGAGTCTCTCTTCTCTCCCCCAACGTCACGAGATTAAGCTTTCAACCCTTCACTTAAACCAAAATGTCCAGCGCAGGGGAAGCCACAGACGCAGCTAGACCTTCCATTCAAAGAGCCAACACATCCATTCTCTCTCAAAGTCTCGCATCAATACCATCTCCACCAGCCCCCCTCGCTGCGCCACCAAACCCCTCCACAAGCAATCCACCAGCACATACACGATCTTCTAACCCAACTACCTCGAATCAATCCACAGCCCAACCCCAAACTGAGCAGACTACCTCTCCCTCCGCCCCTCCACCACAAGTCCATCCACGTCCACCAACTCAGGCTCCAAACCCAACCATCACAACCACCACAACCCCCGCACGCCCACCAGTCCAAATCTCCCGCCTCCCCCACCGCCAAAACCCCACATCCTGGCAACCAGTCGCCGCCCGCATCCACCACCGCGACGACGACGTGCACAACTACTGCGCACCCGGAAGTAACGGGTGGGTAGAATGGCAGGAGCAACGCGTTGCAGACAGTCAGGCTGAGATAGGCAGGATAGACTCCAGTTGGGATGGAGGTGAAATCATTGATTATGGGGAGAGGACGAGGTTGAGGAAGTTGAGGAGGGTGAGGACCGCGGAGTGGCTTCGTGGGTTGGGGGAGGGGCATGCGGAGGGGAAGAAGAAGGAGGGAGGGAGAGGGGGAGCTGGGGAGGGGGAGGAGGATGTTGAGGAAGAGAAGGTGGATGTGGGGGATGGGGAAGAGAATGCCGAAGTAGGAAATAGGGAAGAGATGGAGATACACGAGGAAGCGGACACAGACTCTGAGACAAGTTCCGAAACAGTGAAGAACAAAGTCTGGAAGGGGAAGGGGAGGGCGGTAGAGCGGGACTCAGAAGGTTCATCTTCTAGTTGCCTGGAGGCGCAGGGGAAGATAGAGGAGCAAGAAGGCGATGTCCTAAAAGAGTGCAAGAGAGGGCAGAATGACGAAGACGACGATGAAGTGTCGCAGGCAGGCTCAGACAAATACCCTGAATGTATAAGCAGGTGGAAACAGGTCGTGATGGCATCTAGAGCACAGGTTGGCAGTCCTGCATATAGGGCAGCCGAGCAACGGCTCTCTGGTACTAGACTCTCGTATCGTCGTGGGGACCAGATTCAAGCTTCGCGGCCTACATCACACTGAATGAGCAGCATAATGTGG